CCTCTTCCTCCCCCCCTTTCCTCTCTCTCTAAAAATCAGTAAAAACAGCCCTAGCTGGTTTGGCTCACGTTATTTAGAGTGATAATGAAGTTCAGTTCTCCCACATTTCTGTCTTCCAATAGATTGCCCAATATACTCATTACATTTTTTCTATTTAAAGTACATTGAGTTTGTAGAAATTATAATGATCTGTATAGAAATGGTTCAGAATAAAAAGGTAAAAATTTCAGGGCAAGATAGGCTTGCTTTTTTTTCTATTAAACTACCTTTTTGCTAGAGGGGAGTATTTTTCATTACTTCATTTTTCACTAATGTGTTTTCATTAAAACTACCTTTAGGGTTTCTGCTCATTTCTCTTTGCTTTCTTGGGTTCCAGCTCTTGTTTTGTTGAGGTTCACAGACTATTATAATTCCCCAGAGGGCTCAGATGTGTGTAGACCAGAACTTCGATGGGAGTTGTAAGTCAGCTCAGGAGCTGGTGCTGTGTACTCCCCTGCCTCCTCTTCTGCCCCAGCCCCATAGCCCAGTGCTGATTCCAGGCCAGAGTGATGGCACAGGGCTTCCTGCAGGCGCTGAGGTGGAAGCACCAAGGCCACCCTTCTCTAGGACTTACGTATGTCTGCTTCCCATGACCCTTTCCCCACTTGCTTTTTTTAGTGATTGGCTTGCCCTCTCTCATGTCCCCTTTCTCACGTTCTTCCCTCTCTTGTGCTTTCCTATGGCAAGAAGCTCCTGACTGGGCTGATCCACATGGCTGTATTCAAACAGGTTAGGTTAGGAGGCTACATTGCCTGTCTCCTGGTTACAAAGAAGGACCTTGGAATCAGGAAAGTCCTGCATCTGTCATGGCTGTGTGACTTGGAAAAGCGACAACTACTCAGCCTAACTTTGTTCATCTGTAGACTGGGGATGTCAGTAATATATGGACCTCATAGAGCTGTTAGGATGAAATAGTAACATGAATTCAGGGGGTTTAGCACCGAATCTGGCATACATTGTTAGTCGTCATCATTGTCATTTTTGCTATTGTTAATATTATTACTTTACTAATACTACTCCTGCTACCTCTGCTACCATTACTCTTTGCAGGGCTGTTTAGTTCTCATGGAGGCTGATGTGGGAATTAGATGCAGTAGGCAGAATTGATATGACAGAAAAAGAAATGTGAGGTGTTCTTGGGAAGATGTAGCCCTATAGGACAGTGGTTGAATCCAGACATTGGAGTTCCTTATTAGCATTGGGGTTGGGTAAGTTTGTGGTGCTTTGTTCTTTTTTTTACAAAAAAAAAAAAAAAGTTTCTTTTTTTTATTAATCCTCATCTAAGGATATGTTCCTTTTTTAAAAAAAATAAAATAAATGTTTTTATTGCTTTTAAAGAGGGGAAGGGAGAGGGATAGAGAGTTAGAAACATCCATGAGAGGGAAACATTGATCGGTTGTCTTTCGTATGCTCCCTGACCGGGGATCGAACCCGTAACCTTCTGGTGTCTGGGACAACGCTCCAACCAGTTGAGCCACCCGGCCAGGGCTGTGGTGCTTTCTTCTTAAGGTGTTGCACCCTGGGGAATAGTTAGGTGTCCACAATGGCATGGTCTTTTGTGAGCTAATGGATATGAGCCTCGTGGTTGACAAGCTAGGCACTGGCCAGTGGCCCTCTGCTGTTCCTGCGCATTTGTAGAACCTTATGTAAAGACTCAACGACAAAAGCTGTTGTACAAACCTAATATGGAAAATATTTCTTTATGTTCTAGATGCATCTGAATGAGATGTAGTCAAAATACAATGTGCTAGCTGTATTACAATGCTTAAATAGGCATCTTAGGCTGCATTTGTAGAAATAGTATTGCCTAACATCTCCAAACAGTCCTGAATCCCTGTTTCCTCTCTCTCTTTTTAGGAAGCATTTATTCGAAGCATTTTGTCAAAGCCTTTCAAAATCCCCATTCCAAATTATCAAGGTAAAAATGGAGACTTTTCTCTTTTTGACTCAGTCATGTGTGAATGTGCCTGAATAGATGAAAACCTCAGTTTTTGTACATACAAGAGTACCTTGGAATTGAAGATCCCAGATTGGTGGTGACTGTGTATGGGATGACTCCCCTGATGCCTGCATGAAAGCTGTGTTTGATAGCTTCAGCAAGGGCTGCCAAGAGTGACTGCCCTCATCTTCTTGGTGGGGATGTGCCAGTGCTCAGGAAGCTCCGGTGGTCCAGGGTGACTTGTGGGCCCAGGTTTCGTTTAGTCCAAGTGACTTCTATGGCATCTCCTTTATGAGGTTGACTCTGTTAGAGGTCTAGGTTCTATACAGTTTCCCCCCGTCTTATATAAAGCATAGCATTGTGCTAAAACGGGCTGGGAGGGGGGAGGACAACTCTCAAGAGCTCTAAGTCTTTTTTGTTTTTTTAAAATATATCTTTATTGATTTCAGAGAGAGAGAGGGAGAGATAGAAACATCAATGATGAGAGAGTCATTGATCGGCCGCCTCCTGCATGCCCCTGACTGGGGATCAAGCCCGCAACCCAGGCATGTGCCCTGACTGGGAATCGAACCTCGATCTCCTGGATCCTAGGTCGGTGCTCAACCACTGAGCCACACCCAGCCGGGCCGAGCTCTAAGTCTTGAAAGGCCCTTTTAGAGTTTTAGACTTTTCCAGGATTCACTTGAGATGAACAAGACCTGGCCCTTCAGAAGTTCGTAGTTGAATGGGGAAGTAAAATGAGGCAGATTGGGATAATGGCCAGGTAGAGGTGCCCAAACTAGGTTTGCAGAGGTTCTAGGGGAGAGAGGGTCATATGGAAGCTTAGGAGAAGTTATGTGAAGGTTGGGCATTTGAGCTGGGCCTGCTGGAGCTCTTCAACCTAAAGGCTTAGGTAACAGGTTGTTGGTTTCTAGGTCCTCTGGGCTCTCGGGCATTGGGCCTCAAAAGGACTGGGGTCCGCCGGGCCCTCCATGACCCCCTGGAAGAAGGTGCCTTGGTTCTGTATGAGCCTCCCCCGCTGAGCGCCCATGACCAGCTGAAGCTTGACAAGTATGTGCGTTGGTATTTCTTGAGCAGTTCTGGACCTCTAAGTGCACATACCTGGGAGGGCAGAGGGCATTTTGGTGTGATTTATCCTTAAGACTGGCACATATTTTCAGAGTGCTGTCATGACTGCCGCACCATCCAGAGAGTGGGTAGGTGGGGAAGGAGAGTGCCTGGGGAAGAGCATGTGGACATACCCAGTTGGTGGGGGTTCCTCATCCGTTCCTGCCAAGCTCACTCAGGAGCAGGAGGGGTTGAGGTGACAACATAAATTTTATGCTATCACCCCTCTCCTAAATTTCCCCGGAGCAAGAATTTACTATGGTTTGATTACCAGGCCAAAGAAGGTCCTTTCTTAGGCAGCTGCCTCTGTGGCGTTTGGATCAGCAGGACACAACTTCCTGAGGGCATGTCCTTGCCCATGTCTGAGATCCGTGTTTTCTTTGCTGTATTTTCTCAGGGAAAATCTCCCTGTCCATGTGGTTGTTGATCCTATTCTCAGTAAGGTCTTACGGCCTCATCAGAGAGAGGTAAGTGGTGGTGGGGGGTGAGGTATGGGCTAGGGTCTGAGCCTGGGAGGCTGCAATCTCTAGGGCAGCAGCAGCGTGGATGCCAAAGTGGGCTGAGTGCTGTTCTTTCCCAGGGAGTGAAGTTCCTGTGGGAGTGTGTCACCAGTCGGCGCATCCCGGGCAGCCACGGCTGCATTATGGCTGATGAGATGGGCCTGGGCAAGACGCTGCAATGCATCACGTTGATGTGGACGCTTTTGCGCCAGAGTCCAGAGTGCAAGCCAGAAATTGACAAGGCAGTGGTGGTGTCGCCCTCCAGCCTGGTGAAGAACTGGTACAATGAAGTTGGAAAGTGGCTTGGAGGGAGGATTCAACCTCTGGCCATTGATGGAGGCTCTAAGGACGAGATAGATCAAAAGCTGGGTATGGAGCCTTAACAAAGATGACTGTACATTTCTACACAACCTGCTCCTTTCTTATGTGCGTGCTCACTGATGGGCAGGGTTGAGGGTAGTGAGGGGTGACAGAGAAGAGAATTCCTTGGGAAACAGTTGAAATAGTTATTTCCGGGCTAAATTAAACAACTATCAAACTTTTTTCCCCCCTTTAAGATAGTCTCAGATTTGTTCCCTTGACACCTTTTCTGTTGTAGAAGGATTCATGAACCAGCGTGGAGCCAGAGTGCCTTCTCCCATCCTTATCATTTCCTATGAGACATTCCGCCTTCATGTTGGAGTCCTCCAGAAAGGGAGTGTTGGACTGGTCATATGTGACGAGGTACTTGACTTTCAGCAATCTGGGTGGTAGGAGAAAGTCTGTCAGAGTCTCCTCACTGAGAACTGCCATCTAAGGGCTATGCCAATCACTGGGGAATGCTGAGTATAGAGCATGCTGCTTTGGAGGAGGCAGGTGAGAGGAGAGCTCATGATATCAACCTGCCAAAAGAGGGAGTAAGCACTGTTTGGAACTCCAAGGAGGTGACGTACTGTAGGCTGATGACCAGAGGTTGGATCCTCTACACAAAACATTGCTACCATTAGGGATGCCACATTGTGCCCAGGCCTAAGTGAGAATTAATTTCCTTTCAGGGACACAGGCTCAAGAACTCTGAGAATCAGACTTACCAGGCCCTGGACAGCTTAAACACCAGCCGGCGGGTGCTCATCTCTGGGACTCCCATCCAGAATGATCTCCTTGAGTATTTCAGCTTGGTCCATTTTGTTAATTCTGGCATCCTGGGTAAGAATCCAGCCTTGTCTGCTACATTGGAGAGGAGCCTTACCTGTAACTCTAGCTGAGGAAAGAGAATGCTAGTTGTACTTGTAGGAAGACTTCTCTTGTGAGGGAGAGCCATTGGGAGACCCTTGTCTCTGCCAAGCAACTCAGCAAGGCCCACTCTGGCTATTTACTTATTTTTAATATGTTTTTATTGATTTTAGAGATGGGGGGAAGAGAACCATAAATGAGAGAACCATCAATAGGCTGTCTCCTGCATGCCCCCTACTGGGGATCGAGTCCGCAACCCAGGATGTGCCCCAACAAGGAATCAAACTGGTGACCTCTAGGTGCATGGGACAGTGCTCAACCCACTGAGCCATACAGGCCAGGTTACTGGCCATTATTTTTAAAAAGTTTTATTTTTCAATTATAGTTGACATTCAATATTATTTTATGTTAGTTTCATCTGTACAGCATAGTGGTTAAACAATTACGTAATTTACAAAGTGATTTCCCCTCAATAATTCAAGTACCCACCTGGTACCATACGTAGTTAGTACAATATTATTGACTCTATCCCCTATGCTGAACTTTACATCCCCATGACTGTTTTGTAACTATTAATTTGTACTTCTTAATCCCTTCACTTTTTCATCCAGTCCTTCATCTCCCCTCTGGTAACCATCAGTTTGTCTGGTAACCATCTGTCTCTACGAGTCTGTCTCTGTTTTGTTTGTTCATTTATTCTGTTCTTTAGATTCCACGTATAAGTGAAATCATTTGGATTTGCCTTTCTATGTCTGACTTATTTCACTTAGCATAATACCCTCTAGGTCCATCCATGTTGTTGAAAATGATAAGATTTCATTCTTTTTTCTTTTTATTATTTTAGAAAGGAAGGGAAAGGGAGGGAGGGAGAAAGAAACATCAGTTGGCTGCCTCCCTTATGCACCCCTATCGGAGATCGAACTTGCAACCTAGGTATATGCCCTGACTGGGAATCAAATCCATAGCCTTTCTGTGTACAGGACAACGCTCCAAGCAACTGAGCCACACCAGCCAGGGCAAGATTTCTTCCTTCCTTCCTTCCTTCCTTCCTTCCTTCCTTCCTTCCTTCCTTCCTTCCT